CAACAAGTTATGCCTTGATTTCATGAGTTGAATATACAGTGGTTGGATCTTTTGTTAATGTGTTTGCTGCTCTGGTTTATTTTCTTTTTGAAAATTTTTATTCTAATATCAGCCTTAATCTTATAAGTTTTGGTCATATTTCTAGTTCTTGAATGGAGTTGGGTTGACGTGGTTTTGTTGGGTGAATTTCTCATAAGTATGTTGTATTATTCCTGAGTTTGGCCCATATGTTTTGGTTTTCTATAGTCCTTACTTATGGTTTTTGATTGGTTTGTGATGGTTGCTTCTCTTGATGTTGGAGTTGCTGCTCTATATTATTTTCTTGATGGTATATCCTTTTGTTCTGTCAGGCATGGCCTAATAATTTCTTCTATTCTTTCTGGATCTTGAATGGAGATTGGATCATGTAGTTTTGTTTGTAGAATATCATGTGTTTTAGAATGGTGATTATCTCGTATCGCCTATTACTGTCTTCTCCTTCTCATATGTCTTTCTTTTGGGTTTCATATATTGATTGTCTACTTTTGTTTATGGTATATTTTATCTTAAGATATCTATGTTGAATTATTTTTTCTCTCTCTTAATTTCATCCTTTTCCTATAATTTTTTATGTTCTTAGAATTACTATTCATGTTCTTTATCTATTTGTGTGAGTTTTGTTGCCTACACCAGCTTTATCTTCTTCGTCATGTTGTAGCATTGGGCTATTGGATGGAATTTTCTTTTATTATCTTTTCGTATAGAATGTGATAGTGACATCTTTGTGTCCTTCTTTGATTTCAAGGTTGAGGTAAGTGTTTATTTTGGTTTTTTTCCTTAAGTTTACAGGAGCTTTTCCTTTTCATGTGGTGGCCATTATTGTTGGTCTTTTTATTTTGAGCGATTGTTCCTTTAAAATTTTTTTGGCATTGGATTCTTGTATGCCATTCTTTTTTACTTTCCAATATTATATCTTAAGATAAGGAATCATTTTCTCTATAGGTTTTTTTGATATCTTTTGATTGAACTGTATAGGCACTAGTGAGCTATGGATTTCTTTTAAGGGAATACTCCTTTTTGATGAAATTAAGCTATCCTTAAAAAAAGTAATGAGCAAAATGATACTTTAGGTTCCGTTTGAACTAAGTTTGATGAAAAAAATGTATTGGAAAGTTTTGCGAGCCTTGGAACTAAGCCTGGTGGCTAAGAGCCCAGTTATAATGCTAAGGCTTTTAATTTGAAAATTTCTATCCACAAAATAAAATACATATTGCCTAGGTCTAGCCTACAACCAAACCCGATGCCTAGGCATCATACTCTTTTTTTAAGACAATCTCGATATGTATAATTGCATTTTTGAAGTCGAAGAACAAAGAGCGTAGTACATAGCAGCTAAACCCTAGACCTAGGCACCAAATATGACATTTTCCTCCTTTTGTCTTAATAAGGATCTAAAATTTATCTTTTTTAGTAGTGGAACCATCAAGGAACATTTAAGGGACATTTTTAGGAAATTAGGGGTCTCCTTCTTAGCCTCTTCATACCCTTTTTCTAAACTTATTCTTTTTTCGTGCCTATTTGTTTTGCATTTTTTTCTTCATACTAATTTAAAGGTTTTTGGAAAGACTTTTTAAGCAGCTATAGTGAGAAAGAAGATGGAGATTATGATGATGCAAAGAGAGAGCTTTTCTACTTAGAGTTTTTTTTTTATCTTTTCCTTCTTTCTTATTGTTCATGTTATTTATTATGTATTTCCTTGCATTCTTTGAAGATATCATGAGATAAACAACCTTTTAAGGGTTGGATGTTACTAGTAGTATTTATATGAATTTAGTTTTATGTAAGAATGTTTGTAAGTAATGTAAAAGATTGGTGTCCAGAGGCTTTGGAGCGAAAAATAAGTTACACCATCAATCTAATTATAATAAACTTTGAATAACTCATTGATTACAGTATAAGTGAATTTGTTGAAAGAATCCCATTAAAATCTAAGCCCTAGGTTAGTCTTTAAATTCACTATAGGAAAAATAGAAATTTCTGGCAAAATTTATGGCGAAACATTGCTTGCTAGAATTATCGATAGAATAACCAGTAGAGAGATCACCAGTTTGAAAGTTAGTTTTCTAGAATAAATTTCTACAATTTTTTTTTTTATTTAGTGATTTGAAATAATTTGAATGCTATCTTTTTAACTAATGGTTATAAATTTACTAAGTGAAATGCTTCCTTGTGCAAAATGATCTGTCCAGTAATATAACATTCACCATCATTCTTGGTTTGAGTTGATACTCTTACATTAATTTATGACTTTAAGTCAATTTCTACATTTGAAAGTTAGCAAATTCATGACATAATGATCTAGGCCTTGTTTTGTATTTTATCTTATCCCAAAATGACTCATTTCCTCATATATTATTGTTGTAATCCTTATTGTATGGAATATTCAAAGTCTACACTTACACACCTTTTAAAGATGTACAATGAGATAATCACACAATATATAATGAACTTACAAAAGATTTTTATCTTGTTACAAGACATAAAATTACAACCTCATAAAATATATGAGTATAACAATTTTTTCTTTCCCTTATATATAGTCAAAGTATATGATGCACTACATTATATTCGTCTACACCCATGAACCTCGAGGCTCACTATAGCATCTTTTGCTAATGCCACTGAGTTCTTCTTTTCTATTGAATGCTTGAATAGGGAATTATGGATATGAAGGGTGAAGCCATCTTGGTCACCTTGTCTTTAATATATTTAACTCTTCATTTTATAATTAAATAATTTCAAGCACATTAATAGATACAAATCGTCCAACTCATTAAACATTTTATTATCGACAATTGATCCACAATCACAATCACCCAACTACTACTTAATGCATGATTTAGTCATTCTCCATGACTAATGTTTCATGGATGTATAAAATTTTTTTATCTATTTATTTCACTATAGTTCACATTTTTATATTATTTCCATGTTACTGCATACTTTTTATTATGTGGATTACACTTTGGTTGTTTTTATGAGAATGTTTGTGTAGGACTTCATATATCACATCTGATATGAATATTCAAAATAAAAAAAAATTGGATGTATAATTGATTGTTGCCTGGATGAATGATATTAATAGATGATTTCATTAACAGAGTTAATTTTTTATCGAGGTGGTCTGTCAACTATCTTCTTTTATATCAGATGGGAGGTTTCGATATCCTTGTTCAAAGCATAAAAACCAACTGTACCTCACATCATATGAGGTTAATGCTTATTTATATTGTAAGGGATTCATACTAGAATATTTATTCTTGACTTCATATGATGAGTATGAGCTACATTTATACTCTCAATATAGTCCATTAATAAATTCCAAGATAATAGAGGAAGAAAATATTAGGACGTTCAAATATATGGTTATTATGTAATGGGATCATAATTTTGACAATATATGGAAGAGTCACAAAATATGATAGCATAAAATGTCTATGGATTATTATGTGTTGTACAACAACCAATTGGGAATGAAAGCACTACTCACTTAGAGTTATGAGTTATTATGGAAATATTGAGCATTGAGGAACAATAGTGGGTGGAACAGCAAGCAAGGAGGGCCTTTATTATTTTTAAAGTTTTGAATATTAATAGAAATATTTTAAATGATATAGATATAATATTTATGCTTATCTTAAATTTTTAAGAAGGATACATGACTTGAAGAGAGCTAGGTTGCAACTGGCAAGGGAACCTTTGTGGGATCATCAGATTATTCCAACTATAATATATGATCACAGGTAATAGGCAAAATGTAGAAGGGAAGAGTTTATAAATTATATTCACATGCATATATTCAAGGGAAAATCCTCTAATTCATCAAGCTTCTTAGCTAATAGCTAGGAGGGGTTAGTTAACCAACAGGTGGTTGCCCTGATAGTAGAACTAAAGAAAGTGTTAAAATCACAAGCTAATATGCAAATGCGGCAAAGCCATATATTGGAGGAGTTGCAAATAATTAGGGCATAATTTACTAAAAAATAACCTATAGAAATCAAAGAGAGTGAGGGGATGAAGGAGAAGTAGAGCCTGGATAGTTATAATTCTTTAGTTGGTTTTTTGTAAATTTTTAGAGATGGTGGATTTTGACTATGATTTGTATAGTACAGTGGTTGATAATTGTATAATGCATTTTGAATAATGTCATTCTGAGAATGTTTAAATTTCTTATAAATTGAGACCATTTATGTGATTGATACTTTCTTCAAGGGTTATTGTGCAATAATGAACATGATAAATTAATATTTTATTTCAATGTTACATGTTTTGATGGATATTTTTTTTGGAAATTTCATACGAAGGATTCTGGGTGGAAATTACTACAAATAATTTTCATCAAAATTATCAACAGAATATTTCGTCGATACTTCTAGTGGAATCTCAAACAAAATTTGCCAGTGTGATTCAACAAAATCCCTTTAGATTACAGTTGAAAATTCATCGGTAAAATTTTTGATGAAAAAAATCTACCGCTAATTCTTTTCTGACGCATGTTTTAGAGAATGTAAGTTTTATGTTGGAAATCAGCCAAAATATCCCATTTCTGACAGAATTTTCAATTTGTTTGGTGAATAATTGTGTTGAAAAATCCATGTTTTCTTGTAGTGATTGTTAAAGCTTAAGTGGTTTTTATTTGTATCACAAAAGTTTAGTTTTTTTTTCTACCTATAACATTTCCACTCCAATTTAATTATTTAAATTACATAAGACCAATCTAAATTTAGTACTAGGCTATCACAAATGCTATGGGATCAGTATGGGATCAGTCACACCGAACGTCGAAGAGAAGTCTTTCGCCCTAGCCGCCTCCAGGCGATTTTAGGGTTCTGCGAGATTTCTCTTCTCCCGGCCTGTTCTCTTGGCTGATTTTCGTCTTTCCTGTTGGTTGCTCCTTCTTGAAGGTATTCTGGTGGCGCTGCTGTTCTTTTCCCCTTTTTGGGGCGCTAAATCTGGCGGTTATGGCTTCCTCAAACCCGTGGGGGAAGATAGCCAGTCCGATTCATGGTAAAAGCAAAGGTTTCTTCAACTTGGAAGGTGATGCTCCTTCTAAATCTCCTACTAGGTCTTTTAAAGATGTTTTATCAGGGGATCCTCTGCAAGGTGAGAACGCGCCCAAATTTACTCAGTCTGTGATTAATGGTGCTCCTGCTATTCTCATCTCTGATGAGGACATTCTTAAACTAGCGTCTCCTTTTAAATTTACTTTAGTGGGGAAGTTTAATCTTCGTAGACCAAATCTTGATAACATCCGTTCTTTTTTCGCTAATCTCAAGCTTTCTGGGTTTTACTCCATCGGTCTTCTGGATTCTCGTCATGTTGCCATTCAGTTGTCCAACGACATGGATTATAGTCGCATTTTTTCTAGACGTTCCTATTTTATTTGTAATTGCCAAATGAAAGTTTTAAAGTGGACACCTTTCTTTGATATTCATGAGGAATCTCCCATTGTGCCTGTCTGGATTTCCTTCCCAAATTTACGCTTACATTTTTTCAATCCTCAAGTTTTACATGCATTAGGTTCTGTTTTTGGTAGACCATTGCAAACTGATCAAGCGACGGCTTCCAGGACGAGGCCGTCTGTTGCTCGGGTTCTTGTGGAAGTTGATATTTCAAAGAAGTTTGCAAAAGAAATTTGGGTTGGATCCAGGGATTTTGGTTACATGCAAAAGGTGGAGTTTGAAAAAGTGGCGGATTTCTGTACCCATTGTAAGATGCATGGTCATGGGGCTGTAGATTGCTTTAAACTTCATCCTGATTTAAAAAGCTCAGGCCATTGAAAATCCTTACATTGTCCCTAGCTGTATTTCTGAAACTGATAATTTTATGCTGACTAAACTTCCTTTGGAGGAGGAGATTTGGAATGTCATTCAAAATATGAACATGGACTCTGTGGCGGGTCCTGATGGTTTTACTACAAAATTTTTTGTTAAAACTTTGCAGATCACCAAGATTGATATTATTGAAGCTGTCCACGAATTTTTCTCTGGGAAACCCTATGGCAAATTCTTTTCTTCTACTAATATTGTTTTAATTCCTAAGAAAGAGCTTACTAATGATTGGAATGATTTTAGACTGATAAGTTTGTGTTCTTTCTTTAACAAATTGGTGTCTAAAATTATTTCTTCCAGATTGGTGAACATTCTTCCTAGAATTATTTCTCAAAATCAAACGGGTTTTGTTAGAGGTAGAAGTATTTTTGATAATATTCTTCTTACTCAAGAAATTGCTCATGATATTAATATCAAAACCAAAGGTGGTAACATTATCTTTAAGTTAGATATCACTAAAGCTTATGATAATTTAAATTGGGAGTTTTTATATAAAGTCCTTGCTTTATTCGGTTTTAGTGAGTCGTTTATTCTTTTGGTGAAAAACAGCATTGAAAATTGTTATTTTTCTATCATTATTAACGGAGCTAGCCATGGTTATTTCAAGTCTTCTCAGGGTTTGAGACAAGGTGACCCTCTTTCACCTGTTTTGTTCATTATTATTGTTGATTACCTGTCCAAAAGTCTTGAGGAATTATTCATGAGACACCCTTCTTTGTAGTACCATACTTTGGGGGGTATTCCTATCTCTCACCTTTCTTTTGCTGATGATTTTATTATTTTCTCTAATGCGTGCTTTAACAATATTAAAATTCTGATCAAATTTTTGGAAGGTTTCCATAAGATCAGTGGTCTCAACATTAATAGAAACAAGAGTAATTTCATTGTTTCTAAGTCGGTTAACAATGCCAAAATTAATGCGATTATTAGATTATGCAATTTTAATTGTGTTTATTTTCCTATCAAATATTTAGGTACGCCTATTTTTAAGGGAAGCAAAAAAGCTTCTATTTTTGAAGATATTTTCAATGTTTTTCAATGTAAAATTTCAAATTGGACCACTAAATTTTTATCTTTTGGTGGTAGATTTTTGTTAATCAAGCATGTGTTAAATTCGATTCCTATTTTTATTTTTCACACGCTTCACCCCTCTCCTGCCACTTGTCTGAGACTGGAATGTCTTATCAACAAATTTTTCTGGGGAGCCAATAATGAGCATTCGTGTATTTATTGGGCTTCGTGGAACAAAGTTTGTGGGCCGGTTAATGAAGGTGGTTTGGGAAGCAAAAGTATTTTGGATATGGTGCATGCTTTCTCTCATAAGTTATGGTTTGCTTTTAGGACTAACAATAGTCTCTGGTCTAAATTTATGTATATTAAGTATTGTAAGGATATTAACCCTTTATATTGTAGTTTCAAGGTGGTTGATTCTATGGTTTGGAAAAGATTATGTAAGATAAGTTGGGAAGCCGAAAAATTTGTTCAATGGGGGTTAGGGAATGGTGATGTCTCTTTCTTGCAGGATAATTGGTTGGGAAATGGATCTATTGATAGTATGCTTAATGCTCATACTCTTATTAACACTAAAGTTTCTAGTTTTTGGGTTAATGGTATTTGGAAGGTTATGGAGCTTGGTACTATGATTCCTCATGAGGTGCTTATTCAAATCCTGAGTATTCCGAATCAGCTGGATGCTACTGATAATATTATTTTCAATATTTCTTTTAATGGGCGTTTTAAGCTTAATTTAGTGTGGGATACTTTTAGAGAGAAGCAAGCTGAGTCTATGGTTTTTAAAAATTTGTGGAGTAATTGTTTCCTTGTTTCTTATTCTATTCTTGCTTGGAGATGCATTAAAGGGTTTTTACCTGTGGATACCAGTCTCTGGAATAAAGGTTTTCTCCTGCCCTCTAAATGTCAGTATTGTTTTAATATTGAGAGTATTGAGCATGTCTTTATTCATAGCCATATGGCCAAAACTGTCTGGAGGTTTTTGTCTAATTTTGTTAACAATAATTGCCCTGTCACGGGTAATGAGAATATTTATGCTATGCTTTCTAAATGGATGATTCCTGCTAAGGGTCATATTGTTAACATTTTGCCTATTTTTATTTTATGGTACATATGGAAGGCGAGAAATGAGTCTAAGCATAAGGGTATTAAGATAGATGCTAATGTCATTATTTTGAATGTTAATTATAAAGTCTCTCAGTGTTTCTATGCTAAACTTATTAATGAGAAACATTTCAAAAATTGTGGTATTTATGCTGAGGCTATTGGTATTGATTTAAATGTTGATCAGGTGGATAATAGGGAGCGTTTAGTTAGTTGGTTAAAACCTTCCCACTTGTTCTTTAAGCTTAATACTGATGGGTCGGTAAATCAGTTATCTGCTGGGATGGGAGGAATTCTGCGTGACTGCTACGGTGAGGTAATTTTAGCTTTTTCGGACCCTTTATATCTGTGTAAAGCTATTTTTGCTGAGCTAATGGGTCTCCATAAGGGTTTGGAGCTATGTCTGTCTAAGGGCTTTTATTATGTTCAAGTTGAGGTGGATGCTGTGCTGGTTACTCAATTGATTAATAAAGAAATTCTTGTTAATCCGCAGTATTTCTATCTCATTAGAAAGATTCATATGGCCATGTCTAAGCTTAACTGCTCCTTAAGCAATATTTTCAGAGAATGCAATTTCTGTGCGGATTGGTTGGCTAAGTTTGGTTGTTCTGCTACTAGTAATATTATTTTCGAGATTGATAAAATGCCTGAGCAATTGCTTAATCTGGTTAGACGTGATAATCTGGGGCTTTCTTGATTGGTGTTTTTTGTTTCTTGGGGTGTTTAGTTTCTGGGTTTTTTCCTGTTTCTTCCTTTTGCTGGGTTGTCCGGGCGTGATTTTGTGGTTCTGCTTTGTTTTCCTGGTCTGGAGTATCTTTCCGGAGGTGTTTGCATTTGCATTTGGATGTGGATTTTCTGCTGGATCTTGACTGTACTCTGTTTTTTTTTCTCATTTGGGGTCACAAGCTCTGCATTGGAGGCTTCGATATTTATTTCTTATTTTTTCCTTGGTTCCTGGACACTTGTTTGGTCTGCTGTATTGATAGTAAAACCTGGGAATCCTATAGTCCTGCTGGTAGTTTTTTGGGATCTAATGATGGTTTTCTCATTACTGACTATGCTTATTATGTGTTATATATTTGCAGGAAGTTATTTATTTCTCTTCGTAAAAGCTATACGGTTGCCAAGGTTAGTATATTTGCTTATTAGTATTTATTGATAATTTTTACTGGTTTTTGGCAGGAAGAATGAGCAGACTGAGATCAACAGTTGCTTCCTTTTTTGGGTTCTGTTTACTCACAGTCCTAGGTTTTTGTGGCATTACTTTTGTAACGGTAGAAAAAGGAACCACCGGCTCATAGGTTTTTATTTTACTTTTTTACTTGTAGCTCTTTCGAGCAGTAGGGAGCTAGAGGTTCTTTTTAAGGACCTTGTAACCATTTTTTGAATATTAACACGTAGGCCCCATGAGTGGGTTTTAACAAAAAAAAAAAAAAGCTATGGGATTATCCTTCAGTGGTAACTAAAACTTTCAATATCATGTAATCATGCATATTTGGAGTAAAACCTATCATCATAAAATTTTTATAATCTCCCAGCCTCAATGCCTACATATTAGACTCATTTTCTTAAGATAGTCTCGATGCATAAGACTTACTATAGAAAAATGAGTTAGTTCTGATGAAAAAGTTAATCAGAAATCAAAGGATTTTTGTTGGAAGTTATAATTTACGGACTGTCAATGAAACTATTTTCATCACTAAAATGAGCGTAGGAAACAAGCTTTTGTTGGAATTTATATTTGTCGAAAATATTTTTTGATAGATTTTCTATGGTTTTCCAATGGAAATCTCGAATACAAAATCCATCGATTTTCCATTGAATTTTTTTCTAGGACTTTTTTGTGAAAATTCCTTCAGGAAATCCACAAAAATTCATAAAAAATTTTGACAAAAAATTTGCTTAAAAATTAATTTTTTTAGAAGAAATACCAAATTGCATTAAGAAAGAAGCCTAGATAAAAACTACACAATCAAAGGCAACCTATTACATTCCTCCTTTAACAAAAGAACAAATGAAGGAGGAATATTATTCTCACTAATTACATCCCAAAAGAAATCATACTCACAAGCTAAGTTAGCATAATAATTAGCTAACTTATTACATTGTCTATTAACAAAATTAAAAAAAATATGTTATTGAAGTTCTTCATGAATAAAAGGTCTTCATTTATTTGATCTCTCATCCTCTTCTCTGGTATTCTATACAACTTGTGGAGAAAGTTGATGACATTTAGATTATCTCCCTCTATAACAATGCCATTAGCCTCAAACATCCAACTTTGAATAAAACTTCTCAAAGATTTAAAAGCAAACAGCTCCAACTATGCACTATCCCAATGAGCATATCCACATCAAATGCCATTAAAAACCTTCCTTTGTAATCTCCTACTACTCCCCCAATTCCAGCTTTATTCAGCTTGAAAATGGATCCATCTATATTTATTTTCAACCAATTGGGTGGAGGGGGTGCCAGAAATTAGACAATCGTGAAGATTGATTAGTACCCCAGTTTCCCAATATGATCTTGTCTTTATGTAAAATATTCATAAAACTTATGACTCTAGAAGCAATAACAACATGTCTTTCTTCCACATCACCATGCTTTACTATATTTCTATTAATCCATGAATGGAAAAGCAATATAAAGTTCATATTTGGAAAGAAAGGGTTCCTTACCGAAAATGATTTTAACTTCTTCATACATTCCGAGAAAGAGCTAAAAACTGGAACCGAGAATCCCCATGAGTTCAGTAATCTTATAACTTGCTACAATTTTGGACATGTAGTTGTACAATGATCAATACATTCCATCTCAAGAAAACCTCTTGGACA